ATTAAAGGAAAATTAAGAGCAACAAAGACGACGCCTCAGCAGAAATATACAGCAAAGCCTGTCACATTAACATAAAGCATGGCCCTCAGAAATTATTAGCCTCTCTAATCTCCTAAACCCTTAGACGCAGCATTGCACTGTTCAAATGACCTGTCCGCTGTGATGCATGGCCGTTCTCTCCCCCCCCCCCATCAGCTGAAGAACACCAGCTCCACCTCCTCACACAACCACACATTCTTTATTTCCTGCTCTCCTGCTTTTTATTTTACCTCCTGCTCCAGATTTATGTGGGTTGGAACAGCGAAAGGGCAAAGATTAAACAAACAACGGCTGAGGAAGACCACCAAGGTGAAGGACAACATACACATTATCCTCCGCTTATCAGCAGCACATTAACACAGCTCATTTGGTACCTGCTTCACCCGGAGATAAACCAGGACGAATCAACTTCTCCTTCATCAACCTCACATATCTGTAAAAACAAGTTAATGACATTAGGCCATATCAGCCCAACAACCAGGGGAGGAGGAGCAGCTCTGCAGCTTCATGGATGCACTTGGTGCTGATGATTAGTCTTGAGGTTGGTAGATCAATGAAGGATCCAGCACACAGCAGAACACATATAAAGGTCAGTGAAGAGGAAAATAGACTCTTTGTCACCCTGCCAATCGCTCTGATTGCCTGCCAGTCTGCTCACTTGTGACCAGTTACCCCACCTCATCCCATTCTAACGATTTCCTGCTGCAGTTGAAAATTTGTTCACAGCCCATAAGAAATTAGCATTTTACTGCTCAGGGTCATAAGAATAAAAAAAATAACACCCATTTTTGATTGAGAAGGTTTATGCATCTTAATTATTATAGTTATTGTTTAAAGCAATAACTGTCTTCAGGTATTTTCTGTATGAATATATCACTCTCATCTTTGGAGTCATTTTGATCCACTCTTCTTTCCAACATTGCTTCAGTTCATTGAGGTGTTCAGACAATTGTTTATGCACAGTTCACTTCAGGTCCCATTGCACAGTTTTGATATGACTGTGCTCTGGACTTGACAGAAACTTCATTTTTCTTTTTCACACATTCTGTTGCAGGCTTCCTGCCATGTTTCTGATTATTGTCTTAACGATTAAGCTCCTCACTTAATCTCCGGACATGGAGATGAGGTGAGGTGGAGTCCGACCACGCTGTAGAATATAGAAAAACCTACAGAATAAAGTGGCTGAAGGCAATTCAGCCACTTCATCCAGGATCATTTTTGCCTCTGCATATAAACATAGATAACACTGAATGGTAAACCGAGTGCGTTTCTTGTTGAGCTAAACTTTTTCCTTTACCACAACAGACCAGATCAATGTTTACATTATGGCATATAAGGATCATCACACTATCCATCTCTGAGGTTGTGCTTTAGGATTTTTTTTTTGCAATCCCTGTTAGCACAGGGTGGTCTGCCCTTGAGGTAAATATCTGGGATGTTCACAACTTGAACATTGGCTGCTACCATCATAATATTCAGCATCCGTTAAGAATTGAAAGTAGTACATTTGAATGTACATGGAAAGTTCCTGATAAACTTTAGAAACACTAAGCAGTAATGCATTGGAAAGGAAAGCTTGTTTGATTTTGAGGTAAGTGAGCCACTTCAATTCAGTTTAATCAAGCCACAACAAATCCCGTCCCAAGGAACTGTACAAGACAAACGGGTTCAATTCATATTCATAAAAATGCTCCATCCCTCCAGCCCTTCGACTCTGCTAATACACACAGCCTCCTTTCACTTTCAAAAGACCCACACAAAGACATAAATTATCTCAGTCCAATTCCACAGTCCCTTTATTTTCCCAGCATGTTATTCATCCCCATTTTTTAAGTTTATTGCCTCACTTCACAAGTTCATCTTCTAGCGGTCTCCTCACAGTTATGTGAAAGCTTTGTGATGGATATGCACTCCATCTCCAACAGCTATCGACACCTTCAGGTCCTTACGATGGAAGGAGTAAAATTCTACCATCAGAGCTCAGAATCATTCCAGTGGATATCAAAGCTTTACTATTAACTAAGGAAGTTATATTTGTGTTGTTCTGCCTTTTTCCATTACCCCACTGCTGGTCACCTATTTCAAGTGGGTGTTATAGTAAAAAAAAAAAATAAAGCAGAGTTTTGTGAACTATTACATTTACAGTACTGCAATACCATCAAACTGGAAAGTGGTATTTAGCTTATTAATTTTCAGTGTATTTTAATGTCTCTGGGAAAATATGGTGTATGAAAGATTTGTTTGCCTATCCTGGGAAATGGTTCCATCACCGCCTAAATAAGCAAAACACAATAGTTCATAATCAAATAATATTTTAAATAACTAAATCTATTTACACAAGTTTAAGTAAAAGACATAAAAACAAATAGGAAACTAAAGCGTTTTACAACACTTTTACAGGTAGATAAGAACAAGTTACCTAACTTAAACTTTTAACGTATTTTTTTTTTATCAAAAAGCTTTCTTCTTACTAGGTCTCTCTCTATAGTTTAAAGAAAGGGTGCCACAATCTAATTGGGAATTGTAATACCTGATGGTAATTTTGCAGAAAGAAAATCTGAAAAGAATACAAATAAGGACAGGAATTAAAAGAACAAACAGTCTTTGGTTCCATCACCTTCTCACACCAGAACCACCTTGATGAAACATGGAGGGGTTGTTGTTCTATTGAACTAAAAAAAACAGGTTTCTTTATACACTGCAAATATTTAATTTCATTCTGTTGCTTAGGTGCATGTACTGTCAGGGGATGCAACATCAACAGTGACTGTGACCGTTCACTGAAACGAAAAGAAGGCAAACAAGGAAATTGGAAACACATGAAACGGTAAAGTCAATTTCCAATACTGAGGCTAAGACGATGACAGGCAATGATGCAACCTCATGTCAATGTAGAGTCAGCTGCCTGTTTCGAAGGAATATTGTAGAGGGCCTAAGTGCATTCATGTTTCAGCCTGTGAAGAAAAACAGGTCCCATAAATTGTCTCTGAACACTTAAATGCTGTGTTGGTCCATCTTATAAACTCATTAAGCAAATATTTTCCCAGACACCCAAAGTTCTTGCATTTTTCTATATTTTAAACTCATAGGAACTCCCCAAAACCATGAGAGGTATCTAAATGCATGACAGTGGATCTTTTTTTGGCATGTCAATCTTTGACAGAATGAGTTCTGATAGGAAACACGACTGTCAGGTCTCTTGAGTCAGCCTCTCCTCATAGTTTCTCTGACAGAAAACACATTGCAAAAATCACCAAAGGACGGATAAAAGAGCAGCGAGACTCAATCTAAATAACATAAGTTGCGCGAACATCCAAGAGCTGAAACTCAGACTCAAGTGGAAATTGATGAAAAAAAGAGCTTCAAAAAGTGTTTTGTACTATTTTGATTAGAGGAGTCCAGGCGTAGCATACACACCCTGTATGTTCATTCTGGGTTTATTCTCTACATCACTTCAAAGACAAATCATGGATGAAAAACAACCCTGACTTTTTTAATTTTTAGTGATTTTTGTTTAAAAATAAATTGGATATTGTATAAAATGGAATTGGAAGTCACTTTTAAAAATAATTTAAGCAGAACATTGAAAACTGCTAGGAAAAAAAAAATAAGGTATTTGTGTCAATTCTAAAAAAAAGAAACGGTTAGCATGCTAAACGATAACATTGTCATATGGATATTTAGCTAGCTATGTAGTTTGTTAAAAGCATCCACTAACTTGACCATTTTTTTAAATACGAAGGTTTCTAGCAATTGTCTTACATTATCTTTAGGAGGAGAAGATTCCCTTAAAGACCCGATGTAAAGACATTCAACGTTTTTACCACACAGAAAGAGGACTTTTATCAGAGTTAAGAGGGTCTAAGTTGTGAGACAACAAAATTAAATGTTCTGTCCTAACTAATCCCATAACTCAAAACAAGAAAAGCAGAAACAGTTCTGGGGAACCGTGAGCAAAAAACATCTGCAAAACTTTCCGTTTCGAAAATGAGTTGGAAAATTGTGGGTATTACTTTGGCATAAGAAGACCAAGGAGAGGAAAGAGAAATATGCAATGAAAACATCTACAAAAGCAAATTCAAATGCTGTGCTGAAACACATAGACCAATTCGACCAGCAGAACAAAACACTCAACAAACAACAAGACACAAAAGAGCTAAGATTGAAGACAGCTTAATCGAGACATCATCATCTATGATCTGCCGAGACAAATGGAAGCCAAGGACTAAATGTATACTACATGATATTCAAACAAGTTGGATTATTGTTATCACAACAAAAATGGCACATGCAGCTTTTCCTTCTTTGAACAGATGTTGAGTGGTGTCACAGTCTCTCAGCCTGGTGTTCACCAAGACTCTGAACACTGCTATAAGATTACAACCTCTGATGAAACTCTCATTGAGGCATGTGCAACAGCCCACACCTTGCATGGTCCTCTTTAGACATGTTTTGCTGCTGCAAGAAGTTTACGATTATGCAGATTACTGTAAGCGATTTTTTTAAATTGGTGTTTTAAATTAGAAAGCCAAACACGGAAAACTAAGTTCTATACTACTGCACTTATTACATATTTACGACCAAAACGTCCTTTATTCCATCTTTGGCATTCCAAACAAACCTTCAGCACTTTCCAGCTTAATTCTTGGCTGCACTTTGTTTTCCATTTTGCTTTTGAGCTTTTATTTACATATTTTTTCAATTTCAGACATGAACAACCAGCATGCATAGCAAGCTTGAAGGCAGGTGAATACATTTCTTTAAATACTGTATATCCACTGATATAATAAAACCCATTTGAGGAGTTTGAAAATTATCTGGTGAGGACAACCTTGAGAGCTGGAGCTGTCGTCTGTAGTTTTGCTAAACGATGTCTTTGAGAAGAAGCTCAATAGGATAAAACTAAATTAATAGGTTGTGTAACAAGCAATACTTCATATGTTGTCCAGTAAAATACTTATTGCATCACCAATGTGTTAATACAGGGAGTCGTGTGGTGCAATGCTAGACATGAGAGCACGACAAATGAACTTACGGTCACTGCACTGCGTCCCAGTGTAGGAGGTCATGGAGCAGTCACAGGTGTAGTTCTCCCACTGTTGGATGCAGATCCCCATGTTGGCACAGGAGTCCTCCTGACAAGTCGTGCTTGGACCTGTGGGAGTCCAACAATAGCCACCAAACACACAGACAGGCCCTGCATTTAACAAGAACCATCAAATAACTAGAAATATCACATATTGAGATATTCTCCTTTGGAAAAGGATATGTTGTTTCTGTCAAACATGAATGGGCCAAGCAATGAAGCCAAAGGAATCATTTTCTTTGATATGACTATCTGGTCTCTTGCAAACAAAACTGCTTTCATAGTTCATCAAGTGCCGTTACTGCTGTGTAATGTGCATATTCAAAATGTTAAATTCATCATTCACTTTTATATTAACCTATGATGAATAAAAAAATAAATAAAAAAAAAAAGATGAAGACCTTCAAGATCAAGATCAATCAAAATCTTCTCCACTTCTTCCTGGTCACAACATAATTGCTCTGTAGGCGACACTCCTTTTAGATTAAACTGAATTAAACTGACAAAAAAAAAGAAAAATACAAAGCGTCTATGTTGTCTGTTTAATAATTTAAGAATACAGTTAAAAATTTTTTCCCCAACTTTCAAGACGTTTGGTTTTCAGAAAATGTCCAAAAACCTTTCTAGATGTTTGTCCAAAATTATTTCCAGAAGGATCAGCCAGTTTGAGAAAATGTGTGACGGCTTGATTTCTGTCTGTTAAAGAAGGATTTCTGACCAGACCTTTAAATCTAAGACTGAAAGAAAGAATGATATCTAAAATAAAGGGAATTTGTTGTTTACATTCCCTTTATTTTTGGTGGCTGATGTGAATCAGGGATTCATGTAAGATGTTCAATGGCTACCAGAGGCGCAGCAGCACCATCTAGTGACGGTAATAGAGTAGTGCCGTGGCCTCGAACTATCACTTTCAATCGGGGCTTTGAGAGATGCGAAAGAACATCAAATGAGCTTCATGTGATGGAAGCTTGAAATAATAAATAAATAAATAAATAAATAAATAAATAAATAAATAAATAAATAAATAAATAAATAAAACAAAGTTAAACGGTTAGAATGACAGTGCCGACATAAAGAAAACCAAAGCACACATAAAATGATTTATTAAAATGAGATGGACACCCAGCTGTGATCGATGAGATTTTATTTGGAAAAATAAACCAATCAACAATCACTTCCCACAGTTAATACAATACAGTGCATAACATCACACAGATTGATCTTTTACAGCAACAAACACATTCATTGAGCTCTGCGTTTATGCTAAAAAATGTACCTTCGGAGTACATTATGTACAACTGATGGCAGGTGTAAGAAAAAACACAGACTTCCATGCAAACAAGAAGAGATTGTGGAGGATGGCCCAGGACCCTCAGAGGATGACAAAAACAATGAAGCAACAAAGAAAAGCACCGAAGAATGGAAACATTTTCATCCACAGTGACCTTTGTTAGCCAGTGCAAAATGTTTCCATGTGGAGCGGTATTACACTGAAGGCATGGATAAGGCAGGAAGCGGCACAAAACATTCAAACCTTTGGCAAGTCCTGCTTTTAAAACAACAGCCATAGACTACACTCCTGACACATGGTTCATGGCCCAATCGAAACCTGCACAGCTGAATTCAGAAATTCAGGATTTAAGTATTTCATATTAAGCCTCTACAGCTGCCCCTTTACTTAATTCACTTAGAATTTCTGAAAAAAAAAAAAACATTTAGGTGCTATTTAGAGACCAAGAGGTCAGGCATATCTGATGTCATCTGCACATTGGAAAGACATTCTATAATAGGCAGCATATTACAGTCAAATTTACTTTTTCATCAAATGAAAACAATTAACCTGGTTTATAATAGGAGAAAAAAAAAAACGTGTTCTAAAAATGGGATTAAAATTTGAACTGTGGGTTGATGATCATTTAACATAGCCATAAATCTAATTGACTGTGCAGGATATACATCTACATGTTTGTTTCATATATTATGATTTAACATTTACATCAATGTAGAGAAAACAAATCTTACAAAAGAATGTTGGATAAAAAAAAAAAAAAACAAACAAAAAAAAACAGCACCAGTAAGTAGTTTACGTTTCTTAACTGGCAAAACTGCTCTGATGGTGGCTGACGGTTCAGTAGATAAACAGCCAATGTGGCCGATAATGTGGTGGTGCACATGAGGAAGTACTGGATGTCTGGTATGAAGCTAGCAATGGGTAAATGAGGCAACAAACACAGTTAGTAGGATGGAGTTGGTCCCGTATGGATGGAGCGCTGAGGAGCTACTGTTTGCATTGAGTAGGAAGAAAGGGCTGCTGGAGCTGAAGTTGGAGTTGGACTTTGTGTTGTAGGAGTCTAAATCAGGCAGAGACCTTAGCGACGGTGTACCTTCACATCCGCGCTCGATCTGGCCGCTGCGGAACAAGGCATCGTTCAGGAGGTCTGGCAGGCGACCGTTGAGGTCCATGGAAGCCAAGCAGCCCTGAAAGCCTTCTCTGGAAGCCACCAGTTTGGGGAGGTTTCCATACATGCCTGGACCCAGGCCTGCGATGAACAGATCACCTGAAGAAGAAACCGTGGAGAAGAAATATTTTTATGTGGCTTTATGTGGCTTGGATTGCAGAAAAAAAATGTTCAATGCCCAAATTATTGCAGTGCAACAGTTTGCATTACAATTTAAATTCAGTGCAAAGATGCCATTACAAATAAGGCAAAGAATGCATGAATGAACCAGAACAGTTGTCAACATCCAATTAATTAATTTAGATCAAATAAAAAAGTATCTGAACATTGTCAATAGACTGATTTCAGACATTAGAATTTTAACAAAATGAAAAAAAAATGGGGGTTTAGCTTCATGCCTCTACATCCTGTTAATCCTTTTGAGCAAGTTGTTCATATTGGTGATAGTAAAATATAAAACGGTTTTCTAAAAGGTAATTTAAATGAACAATGGACCAAAAATTAGTCACATTCTCAGCTTACCTTTCAGGTCAAGGTTTTTTGCTCCATTGATAGTCTGACTTGTGGCTGTAGCATCTACTTTCAGTGTGTGGGTATTGCTATTGTCTCGGGTGATAGCGACATTGTGCCACTGATTGTCATTTAGCGACCTTTCACTTTTGCCTTTGATGAGGTTGGGCCCATTTCCAAGATCAAAAACATAGTGGATGTATCTGCAATGAGAAATGTCTTTAGTTTCAGAGATCTGGTCAAATTCTTGTAACTTTGCACTTTAAGTTATATTTTTTTGGCTCCAACAAATGAAACAAGACACACACATTTGTTTTAAAGCTCTTCCAGAAAATCTTTGCCACAAACAAAAATAATAGACTATCCTGACTACCTACCCTTTGACCAATTCTACAGCAATAAAATCATTTCCATCCCCAGAGTTGAAGAGGATGAAGCCATCAGGGGAAGTGGTCTTGAACTGGAAGAAGAGGTGCATGGACGTGTAGGCCTGCAGAGTAGCCAGACTCAGGTAGCTGCTTTTTGTCTTGAAGGTAACCGGGTCAGCAATAATGGAGCGAACCCCGAAGCGAGCATTGAGCTCACAGTAATCAATGTCGCCGTTCTTGCACAAGTCAATGTACAGCATGCCGTTAAACCTGTGGAAAGGAAGAGAACATGCAGCTAATATTTCTACATTAAGTATACAGGTTAAAATGTCCTTCAGAATATGAAAAGCTGTGATCTATTTTTGGCAAGCAAAAATAGAGCAATGAGGATTATTTTCCCCCAAAGAACCACACTGTCAGACAACAGCACTTTGAAAAGGTGGTAAACATCTCCTAAGGAGTAGAGCTAAACATTTCTTGATCAAGAGTTTCCCAGAAAACTTCCCCTGAAGGTTTCTCGTCATGTACTCTTCTTCAGTTTATTACTTGAAAAGGTATTTCATTAGGCTCACATTTGTGTATTAAAGTATTTCTTATTGTTCTTATGAAATATTCCAATCTTAAATGTCATGTTTTATTTGCTAACTCTTTCATTATTTTTGTCATGAGTACGTATACTGTTCAGAAATCATCAATAACCTACTTACTCTGGTCAGGCAGTGCCAGTGGCTTGGTCAACATCAGATTAACATTACTGGATTCAAAATGTTTATAGATTTAGTCAACTGAGGAAGTAGCTCTTTCCACTACCACTGGTGTGATTGGCTACAAGTCTTTGTCTCCCTGTCTACGTGATGAGACCAACTGACAGGATGTGGAAGTTGGCATCCTATTTGTAGCTTTAGTGAGGAGCTAATTCACTGCCTTTCAGTCTCTAAATTAGAAAAAATGAATTGCTATTAGGTATTGTTTTAATTTTTTAGAGGACATGAAAAAAGGTTTCTTCAAATGTGTCACCCTTTCATTCTGGGGCCCAGCTCCAGAGAGCCCCAGCCCAATTTAAACCTTGGCTGGCAGCTATCCTAAGTGAGACGTCATTACAAGGTCCATGTCCATGTACTGACTTCTGAAGTAGGTAGAATGCAGGATTTAGTCTGACATGTATTTTTATATTGCCTTCCTCTGCCCATTTAAAGCAGAAATGACTGCAAAATGTACCTCAGGCTCTGGAGGTGACCGATGAAGCTGGATGGGATGGTGGAAACGAACCGGCGTTCTGTCATGATTCCCGTTTCGATGTTGTGGAACTCCAGCCGAGTGTGATCGCCCACCATTTGTCCTGCAGACGGGGAGGGTGCAGGGGATGGGTTGAAAAGAAAGACAAACAAAACGAAAAGAAAAGAGAACTCTGTCTGACACTAACACAAAAGGGCTGATTTAAGGAAAAAAATTACATTAACAGAATTAGAGGAATGCTCCATAGCTAACACACCCCAGCATGGTGATAATACACTGAAAAAAAGCAACACTGAGAACATTTCCAGTTGAAGCAGGATTAAGTACCTTCTGCTACATCATCGTCAACCGTTAGCTTGTAGGTTTTGCCCCGACGCACCACGCGCACTGTATGCCATTCATTATCATTGAGCTTTTGCCCGGCATACAGGGTCTCCGGTCCCTTGCCTGAGAACAATGGTCAGTCACAAAGTTAAGGACAAAGTGAGCCTCAAACCAAACCTTTGTCTTCCCACCAGTCAGTCTGGGCACAAACTTGTCAGGCTATGAAGAGACTTGGAAATGTATCCAAGAATGGATGTAATTTATTTGGGAAACAAAGGTTTGGTTCAATCAGTGAATTACACAATGAAAAAAAAAAGACAAAATAGTTGACAATGCGTTCATATTATATATTAGATTTATGAAGCAGAGAGGGAAAATGCTTCTACTCATTACAGGCCCACAGAAATCTTCTTCCAACTGCATTTTGAAACTAACTGAAACACTGCTTACAAAATGTAACTTTTGGATAAATGCTTAAAGAGTTTGATATGATATCATAAAAAAATGCTTAAAGAATATCCACACAATTATCCGACCTTCAATTGTATTAAAGATTTTTTTAACTAAATGATTGTGCTGTATATATCTTGGCAGGTTCAACGTAATCTTTTACCACCGATTCTTTAAGCTTACCTCTAACTCACAGTACAAATCAAAGTGAAAATCATACTGGTATGATCAAAATTGGAAATATAGCTCAGTTTAACTCTAGAGCTTCCGTAAAGCCTCTAAAGGCTCTTAATGCTGCTGGGGTGACTCTTTTAAAAAGCCGATATAACTCCTATATTTCAGGATTAGTGGCTTTAGATTGGTAGACTGGGGTATTGGTCTCTTTTTAAAGGGGACAAAAGGGTGTACTTTAGATAAAAAATCCAATATTTCAGCCTACACCTGTACACACTACAGGAGAGTTCGAATGACGGTCGAACTTTGGACTCAGACGAAGTAGCCAGGTGTTTGGAGTTTTGTGGAAAGAACTTTGGAAGTATAACATTTCATATTATTTCCCAGGTTCCATTCAGCCTCTGTACGATCAATGCAAGAGATGTTTTGTCTTTGCTGGTAATATCCCTGACTCACCATCATGTGTTAGACTCTGCTGGTGTTACCCTCTATCAACAATTGCTGCTCCTTGTCTTTCCCGAGGGGGTCTTTGACATTATAGGGTGTCTGACCTCTTTCTAAGGCCCATTAAATGCCTGTACAACTCAAGATTAGCCCTTTGTTATCAGTTCTGTTCATTACTTCAATGGACATAATTTTTTCTGATGTATCCAGGGGGCAGAAGGTGTGCAGCTTGTGAAGAGTCTTTGGATGGTATTACCTCTAATAATAGCAGTGATTTGAAACTGATTTGAGTCACAGAGCAGAAACATCTGTGATGCTGTTGACATGAATGACTGTCAACACCCTCAAGATTGAAGCCATGGTCAATAGCTCCATGCCTGGCTTTGGAAAGCACCGTCAGTCATAGAGGAAGTGGAGAAAGGGAAGGTGCTTTGGGAATCTTTGATGTCCCTGCAGTTAGTCAAAAAAGCTAAAGCGGGAAATGGCAGGAATGAAACCCAAAAGGGCTATGCTAACCAAACCCATACCATGTTCTGCTAACAGAAATTTCTCCTTCTTGTGCGTGAAATGCATACACAATCAGGTCAAAGGGTCTAATGGGTTGACACCAAAGATTACAATGTGAAATATTATCCCTCTGGTACTACATTTGCATAGAATAAACATTTCTTTTGCATTGGTAAGTTTAGACTGTGGCCAACTTTCTGGATTGTTTATCGATGGTTTTGTTTAAATCGGCAGAGTTTATGAACAGTGGTCTTTGCAGATCCCCAATTTAAAATACAATTGACTCTTTACTTTAACAGCTTATTGTTGTTCTAGTATATTTATATTGTAATTGTTTTGATATGACCATCAAATCATCTCTAAGAACCCATGCAAGTGGAGACACAAAAGGCTCCCTGGTTCTCCAAAATACTTAAAAATGTATAAAATTAAAATATATAACCCCTTAAACATTCACCTTAAAAGCAGTCTTATTTATTGGTGTCAAATTATTTTCAGAAAACTTGTGGCTATCTTAACAATATGAACTTTTTTTTAGCTGCGTTTAATGCTCAACCCATCAAGAGTTTACAATGTATTTACTTTTTAAAGACATGTCATATTCAACACACAATCGGAATTAGGAAAGGTTGGTACAGTGTGTATAGTAACAATGATCGATATTTGAATTAAAAATATTTCATGCTTTGTTTCAGTTTAATTATCTTGGTAATGCACATCCATATGTCGTTTTAAAACAGCAATACCCATAAAAGACTGAGCCCCTTCGTAGCATAAGATCTCCAGCATGGAAAGACTGGGAGGGATTTCCATATTTCTGCTTCTATAATACATCATTAAACCACTCCAGGAATTTGAGTGAATTTCATGGAGCGAGCGAAGGCTGGAAGTCCTTGACCTCCTATCCATCAGAAGGCACAGCATCAAGAACCAACACACATCAACAGCTGATAGATGGATCAGGAATAAATTACAAGGTCCTCGTGGTATAGTCTGATTTTTGATTTTTGCACTGCTTTTCCAACAGATTTAGTTTCAGGATCACCACTGATAACTTATTTATGTGTTAAGATTAGAAGGAATTTTAAACTTCTGTTTATATGCAGTAAGTTGGATGACATTAAGATGGTAAAATTCCTTCTTTGATTAATTAACATGCCTTTAGTTTGAGCCTTTGCATTTATAAGGTTTTCATTCACTATGCCACCATTACTGAGCCTGTAAGGCATAAGTAGCAATCCCAACCTTAGGTCCTCAAATGGTCAGTGTCCTGCAACTCTTCTTTCATGAAGGTTGGTTTTGTTTGGTTATTTGTTTGTAATTATTGAAATAAATAATATCAGAATTAAGACTATAAACCCTTCAGATGTCAACCAAAAGGAACATTTTCTAATCTCTGTTTTTTTTTACTCACAACTCTCCATAAACATCCACATAGTAAAGGTTGAAGTAAAGTGGAAGGCAGTGCAGAGCAGATATAAGAAGAAAAGACAACAAGTACAACAAAATGAAACTTGAGTGTTAACTTACTGGAGTTACAGTTTATCCTGATACAGTCTAGATGGGGAAGAATAAATGACAGATGAAATTGCATCCTTCAAGGTTATAGCTGCAGACATCCAAAAACAAGAAGTCCACCCTTCCGGGGACGCACACATGCAGGAGGGTAGCCATTTTATTCCCTTGGATTCTTATCTTTAATTTCATACCAATTGATCAGAAAAAAAAAAACATAGACAGAAGAAGGTAAAGAATTAGTTTTTTTCATAAAGTTTAGGCTTAACATTTTCGGTTTTATCTTTACTTTAAAATGGCCACTTATGGTACCAGCTACGAGGCTTTTCCAACCCAATGGCAAAGATTAAATGTTTGCTGCATTCTTTTGTTTCCAAGTCACAGATTTTTGTCAAGGAGGAGAAAAGCAGGTTGATTAGCTTTTCACGGAGAGAATAGAGTTAAACGATGCAACACAAAGCCTGTCCAGCTGCTGCCAGCAGCTGTGAGGACATTGTGGGTTGGTCACCACGTGGCTGGTGGGTCATGTGTCGTCAACCGCAACAGAAAAGTGGGAGCAAACAGCCTCGATCCAATCAGCACCAGCACCATACAGAGGCACCGGATCCCCAGTTGTAAAGTCTGGAACGCTACTCGGCTACTATGTTTGGTTCTAAGCTGCACCAGGAGCTCAAAACTGGGAAGGTCTACACTTTTAGGAAGAAACTACAGGCTATTATGAGCAGAGAAGGAAATCTAAGGGGCTTAATAACTGATGGGAATAAATGTAATCAGTGAGAACATGATCTAAATAGGATTTATAGATCATCTAACACCTGTTAACACTATCAATCCTAAATGTTCTATAAGACAGATAGATATATGTATGTAGCATTTACTGTACAAATTAAAATAAGAACCTCAGTGTTTGGAGGTTCATGGGGTCGCAGCCAGCTGCAGGTTTTGCTGGGCTCTGTTCTCGGGCTGTTCGCCTGACGGGCCGCAGGCTTAAGGCCTTTGAAGGGGTGAATACCATCTTTTGACACAGCATGATGGAAGAATGAAGCTGACAGGAGAATGGAAAGAACAAGACACTGAGAAAGCACACAGTTCATTAAAGATACTGCTGTTAGCAAACAAAAGACATGATCTGGAGTTAGTGAGAAATGCAGAAAGAGTTTATTCAATTGTTCTCACTGAGACTCAGAAGCTAGGATATTCTGAGTGTTTGTGCTGCAAATGTCTCAATGGTTCTGTGAAGAAATTCAATTTCTTGTGTCAGAGATTATCTAAATTGTTTTAGCCGTAGAATAACACCTGTGTGCAGAAACTGTTTTTAATACTCATGCAAACAAGAGAGAAAATGTAAACTGTAAGTCTATTTCAAAATATATGGTCACTGGAAGAATTAAAGGGATGATAGAGGAGAGGAAACGCAGTGAATCGGAGACGTTACCCCTGGAAGGTGAAGCGTCTCATGGCGAAGATGGAGATGTGGGGGCAAATGAATGAAGAAAGAGCTGCTGGTGCTGCAGGTGTTTTGGTTATACGATACCTAGGTTGACTGTGAGTTTGACGCGGCTCCCATCCAACTCGAGCCGCAGTGTGTCGGCCGAGTCCTGGGAGGTGGTGGCCATGAGGAGGCCGTAGGCCCGCTGCGAACGGAACCGCAGGGAGACATCTTCGGCCTCGGTGTGCATGACAGTTGGCATCACCACCTTCATGTACATGCTTCCATCATAGGAGAGAATGGAGGCCTCTGTGGGAGAGAGACCAGACGGATGATGAACTTGACCTTTCCCTTGCAACAGGGATCAGCATATTCAGTTCTGGAGGATTACTGCTCTGCAACTTTTCAATGCATTCCTGCTCTAACACACTTGACTCAAATAAATGGCTAATTATCAAGCATTTGAAAAAACTAGCTGAAATCCCAAGGCGGTAGTTCAGTCTTACGATTCATGTGTCTGGGAGCAATAATGCGTCCACAAATGGCAGGCCACTGGCATTCAAGAACTGGAGTCAGTGACCTCTGACCTACAAGAACAGCTTTACATCCAGTCCCTTTAAAATGTTTGTCAGGACCATGGGTCTAGTCAAAAGAATCTTATGTTTCATTAAGTAGAATCCTGAGATCTATCGTGTTTTGTTTTTTTCAGAATGTCTGTTGATCACAAAACCCTTTCTACAGAGGGGTAGGGCAAGGGTTAGGGTTCAAAAGCCTTTGACATTGTCCACAGATCACTATAAATAAGAGTTCCAGCATATTTTTAACGCTAAAACACCTGTCACATAAAATCCAAATAAAATGCCCACAAACACGAGAAAAGGTGAAAAATGTATACAATTTTCAAATCTTTTTTTTTTTTTTTTTTTTTTTTCAGAATTTGAAAGCTTCTAACATAAAGAAAGAAAAAAAAAAACTTTTATAATCCTCTTTGGTGTTGTCCGATGTGTAGTATCTACACAAAAGATAGGCTAATATACAGTACATTTATCTAAATTAACATATTATTAAAATTGTATTAATCGTTTCCTGGATTTAACAAATGTGCCTTGAAAGCTCTAGTTTTTCCAGGTGCTGTTTGTCCCCAGCCGGACAGCATGGCTGGTTTCCTTTTGGGGCCTTCTGTTGAAATGAATCAGATGTGATTATTGTTCTTGTCACAATAATTTAATATGATAAATGATCTAACAATGTGCTGAAGCATTAGGTGTCCTCTAAATGTCCTTTTGTTCTCTTTTACTGCATGATCAGTTGGGTGTAGGGGTGTCAAAAGGCCACTTGGGGGAGACAAAGTCCATCTCCCGGCTTGCCATAATATATTGCCATATCCTAAATTTAAACGTTAAAAAGTCAAGCTTGAAATAATCATTTAAGCTGTACAAAGTGTTTTGCACAAAAATTTGGCTCCTATCAGGTTTGAATTAAAGACTCGACATGTTCTTTGTCAACATGTTTTTCTGCAGATAGGGTAGAAGAAGGCAGCTGAGACTGAGAAGGTGTCGCATTACTATTTAAGCCGTCGTTCCAGCTGCGATGTGGCCTGTCAGATTAAGTCCGACATTTCATGTGTACTTGGATGCAGCTGCTTGGGAGACAAGCAGCTGCATCCATACTAGAACAGTACTAGTATGGAGAAAAGAGGGTGTCCACACAATTAATATACTTAAAATGCACTAAGACCTCCATGCACTGTGTCTTAGTATAGGTGTATCAAACATTATTATTATTATTATTATTATTATTATTATTATTATTATTATTATTATTATTTCCATTAATGCGATTTGCATATTATACAGATTTAACAGAATAAATTTAATTCTGTTAATTTTGATGGTTGTCAAGTAATAAAACCTCAAAATTCAATTTCTCACAATTTCAATAATGTTAAACAAGGTCGGTAAAAAAATAAATACTTTCAGGTATAGAAATATGGCTTGACCCAAATCATGGGAAGACTGCTAACTTGAATGTTATACTCTAGAGGCAGGACAAGAGACGACATGTTACCACTAAGGAACCTCCCAAAGCACTATATCCAAATCTACCAATGGAAAGTTAAATGGAAAGAAGGAGTTTGGTAGAAAAGGTGTCAAGAAGATGAGAGACACCAGACCCAACAGATGAACCAAAGGCTGCTGGGCTTCCTTAACAGCTCAACAGTCCCATAAGATGCTTGCCTCCATGACACACTACAAGTGGTAATTCTTGTAAAGAGGTTGCCTATCAAGTATTAAATACATATACTGTACAGTATGGCTTGACGTATGTTTCAGCAGGCTAAAATATCTCATGTAAAATCCTTATTTTTATTGATCATATGGAGTCATATTACTAAAGTTTTCTAATGAACTGAGGTGTGGGTTTTAATCAGAAATAAATAATGGTTGTCAAAACTAATGTATTTCAAAAAATGACTCTTCTGTATCACTCTTTCTGAAATGGATTTAGATAATAATGACTCTTGGGCAAAATGGTTTCATTTCTATTGACGTGCAGAAATGAAACCAACAGTTTATCATGACTGAAGTTTTCTTTTTGCAAAAACAAGCATCACCTCATGGCCACAGTGGCTGAAAAGTAACCCTACACCTTTCAGCTCACTTGAAATGCACAGTTCTATATAAATGCAAATGGGTTCGTCCATCTCCACAGTTCGCCTGGCTGCTGCAGCTCATCCTCAGCTCTACTTTAACACTTTATTACCAGAAGAGTAAATCAGCTCGACGTGACGGATCTGATTCTGAAGAAGCAGGAAAATATCCGATGCAGGAGGAAATGACATCAGGGTACCCGGTAACATGCAATACCAGCAAAAACTAAATCCTGATAATATGCTCCCTTTAGATAAACCTGGAGTTTCATAAATTATTAATAATGACAGTAGAAAAGTGCAACTAATTTCCTTTGAGAGAAAAAAAAATATGAGGGTCAAAGTTTATTTAAGATTAATGTAATAATGATGAAAAACACACAGGAGCTGGTTTCACTCATCAAATTATGGAAGCCAAATAATATCTCCTGATAGTGAAATGAATTTTTAAAATCTTTTAGAAAATGTTTCTAATCAGATTGACCCACGGTGACCTGCGTCTTCTCTCTTCCAAAGCAATCATGGTAGTCAGAGGTATTAGTATTATTCAGTAGGCTACTGGATGGGGAAAATCAGGGGGGTGGGGGGAAAACTTAATTAGGAGATATGATCAGAAAGTGGTTACAAGGAAATGTGACCAATTTGAAAGGTTAGGGATGTATTGGTTTCCATCTCTGATCAATCTTTAATAAACTGTTTCAGCACAAGAAGGAAATTAATCAGGCGTACAGGACAGTTTTCTCTGATTAACAGACTGAAGTGCAGCATGAAAATGGACATGTGGTGCTCGTACACAACATCCCCATGGCATGACGGTGCCTCCACTATGCTTCACTGTCAGAATGGTGATAAGCGACAAGCAGTGCCTGGTTTCCTTCAAACAAGACGCCTGGCATTCACACCAAAGAGTTTCAATCTTTGTCTCATCAGACCAGAGAATTTTGTTTCTCATGGTTAGGTGCCTTTTTGCCTCTCTTCCACTCCCTACGTACCTTAAGTGGAATCAGCTGTAAGATAATTATGATGGAGGCATCACAGAACATAAAAATGAAACAGTTCAAACATAGGATGCAACATGCACTTTGTACAGCTTCTGTTTTGAAATATAAAATCGCTCAACAAGCTCCTTAAGTTATCACCTTAGTAGTACTCATTCAGCCGTGCTGCATGGTGGAGCAGAGTCTCAGCAAAAATGATTAATGTGCTACGAAGGCAAAGATGTAATGACAGAAAAGTGGAGGGCATTACGCAAAAAAAAAAGAAAAAAAAAAAGTAATATGATGGAAAAAGACACGATGGCGATGCAGAGTTATCTTTCAAGAAGAAGATATCCTCTCGTTTAGAGGAATGTTACAAGAAGGAAGCTGAACTGAAAACACGACTAACAACATAAAGTGTCGCGCTCACTTCTAATTGTAGACTGAGCTGACAGCAGACAGCTATATCACAGCTAGTGTCCACTTCTTGGACATGGAGTGGCAAGTAAAGTCTCCAGTCGTCCTCATAGAATGTGTTTCTGTCTCGACACAACTCTGTTCATGAGGGATTAATTGGTTCAGATATTGTGTTCTCTTTGTCATTTTTTTTCTATTCAGCAACTTAAAAGGTTATTGTTTTATTTTTTCTGGATATGTCTCAGTTTAATAATGTAAGAGAACCACAGTTTTCTGTTTATTCAGTCATTATTCAATACAACTGAAACAATAAGTTGTTAAATTACAATGATACTATGATAAATTTCACCCTCATGTTATGGAAAAAACCCTTTTGATACAAGCGGAAACTCTGGTTATCAGAAATAAATAAAATATTTGGATTTTCTATTTTTATAAATTTGCTAAACACTCCAAAACTTGTTTTCCACTTTGTCATAATGTTTGTGAGTAGACGTTTGAGGAAAGAGATTAATTTAATAAGCAACATAAGAAAATGTGACAAGAGATGCATTCCGGATCCACAACTGTGGCTGTTATGCACAAAATGGTTTGTTAACTGTGAAAGTTTTTCTCCTAGTAGGTTCCTGGCCTTGGGAAGACCTTCTTTACAACCGTGTGGTGAATTCAGGAGAGACTCAATGCTGAACAGAAAAAAAAAATTGTGTGTCAGCTGTAAACGGATTAGGAATTAATTTACATCTCTCTGAAGACAACGTCTGCAGTCAGCTCAGCAGTAAAGCCGGACGGTGGTGAGATTATGAAGAGGCAGAAGGATGAAGGAGAGCAGAACATTTTTACTCAGGTGAGAGTGTGTTGTAATCTACGATTCGCTTGTTTAATACATCAATAAGAAGGCTTTACACAGAGCATAGCAGCAGGATGCACACAGCCTCCAAACATTGAGAGCAAAACATGTCTATTTAGGTGGTGACTTGTTTGGCTTAAGCTTTTAGGTGACTCTCTTTACATAAAGGTAGATGTAAAAAATATTTGATTTGAAATGGAAAAAGTAAAAGACAAAAATAAATAAAAAAAATGAAGGCAATTCAACAATTAGCCTATGATGAGGGACATTGATAGATACTTTGTAAAATGTTGGAGCTAATAACATTGTTTCTAGGTTGACTTGAGTTGCAGCATAAAAAACCCTCCAAAAAACAAAAACTGGATTATCGATATCAGCTAAGCTTTTCATCTAATCTGATTTTAATGCTGGATTGCAGTTATCTTTATGTGTGTTTGGATATCCTATTTTAGGAAAACCTGTCAGGATTTGTTCCTCAGCTCCTCCTCATTTCAAGTCATGTTTTAGATTCAGTCATATGACGAGTTGCTGTAATCAGGTGAGGGTATTTTTGAACTCGGTGCACGTAATTTCAATGTCACATGTAAATTTGAATCTCAGACCGTTACTGCGGTTTAAGTAACTAACACCTTCTGCTTTTTTGGCCATATTTCTTTTATGGCCATATTTCACCACATTCCCTCTGATTTAAACTATAATTTGCTCTCATTTTCACGTCAGGGCACACAAAATGCAAATCCAAACCCCAGTTTACCTCTCTCACAGGTACGTGACCAGTACCCGGTGCCAGTGCAATCACAGATGAATCGGTTCCAACCCTCTTTGCAGACTCCCCGGTTTTTGCATGGATAGCTCTCGCACTGCTTTCCTTGCTGTTTGTTGCATGAGGGTTTGATACCGGCACCATTTTGTGCCTCTGCGATCTGACGGATGTCCTTGCTGCGACCGTCGATGAAAAGGTCACGGATGCACCCGACGTAGCCGTAGTTGAGCATTGCCGTCCAGAGCTCGGTGGGCAGGATGAGGTTGGAGCGGTCAACTGGAAGGCCTCCCAGATACATGTCTCCCTCCAGGTCCAGAATTTCACTCTCACCACTGGCTGTAAATGGCGTCCGTCTGCTGTTTACAGAGATGGTGCCTGAGGCAGTCAGGGAGATGACAGGTTAACGAAAAACAACAGCTGGAGCAACACGTCAGAAAAATGTAGTGCGATGCTCTCCACACGACCACTGGTTTGACATTGTGGGTACAAAATACTTTGAGTGTTCCAAATATTAGTTCATTTGACACATGAACCATTGAATTTCAATTGTTAGTTCTGGGGCTTCAATGGAGGTGTGCAGTGCTTCTTTGGGGCTAAAAGCCAAGGCATTAAGTCTTGGACCTTATAGAGCTAAAAACTCAATTTTAGGTGTTGTGGTGCTTTGGAAGTTTTTGCTGCTAGAAAAAATCAAGACTTTTGTCTGATAACCTCAACTAGTGGCTAAGATTAGTGAGGCCCTTGTCTTATGAGGACATTTAGAATCTGTAAAGAATATGAAGCTCTGTAGAGGTACACCGAGCTAAGTAGGAAAAAAAGATGACGATTTGAAACGTTACTGGCCATGGCTTTCCTGAAAAAGCTTTCAGTGTGTAGTTGGAGTCCAAGTCACTGACTCAAGTACACATCACTGGTCACTTTTACTTATATTTTCTTTAAATAGTGGATAAAGTCTGACCATTTTAATCTAATATGTTTAAGATTAAGTTTGAACATGTAGATGTGAATGATTTGATGTGAAGGAGCCGGGCTGACCACTACTAGCACAAGTTGACGTACGTCTTACAGGCACTTCCTCAACTATCTGACATTCAGAACAACATGAAGATCTGCAGACAGGTGATTTCTGGGACACACATTATCAGTACTAAGAAAGTATGACAGGGGTCACATAGTGGGCCTGGATAAAGCTGGCAAGCATATAATACGTCAAAACTTGACAATTCCCTTTGAGTGCTTAATTATAAAGGCAGTGAGTCTAACTCATCAACATCAATTCCCGTTTCTACAAACAGCTACTTTGCTTACCAGAGCGTCCATCTCTCTGAATGTCCACATGGTACCATGCCCCATCGTTCACTTTTGTCTGGGTGGCTTTCACCTTTATCGTCCCTGAGCCCATATCCAATAGTAGGTACAGGCTTCCATCTAGGAGCTCCACAGCAAAGAAATCCACCTGTGCAAGACAACCAGAATACACCAATACAGAATGTTTTTTTGGGTCTTGCAACGTCCTCCATTTGCAGACATGGTGAGAGGAACATTATAGAAATGGGAGTAAAAATGTAATAAAAAATATATTTCAGGGGTCACAAACTAACCTTGGTGTTTTTCTGGCTGCGAGCTGCATCTTTGCGCTCCTGACGCTTTCCATGAGTGAAGAGGATGAGTCCATTGGGCTCAGTCGTGCGGAAGTCGAAAGAGATCGATCCCATCCTCTTGGTATTCCACTTGGGGAGGCTGATGTACGCCTCTGGAGTCTCAAAGGAGATTGGGTCCAACGTGGCCACATTCTCACATTTGTAGGACACCTCACCTTGGATTTTCATCTTTGGATCCAGAATCCGAGCCATCCTGGACAACTCCAGACGGATGTCATTGTTCTTGTACACCACCTGTGATGAGTAAATTATGGATTTGGGTATTCGTCTCTAAATGCAGCAATGAAGTCACCATCAGCTCAAAAGCATGACATTAAAACAACGCCACTTCAATTTATGTTTTTGCAATTAGACAAAGAATTAAAAAAAAATAATAATTATCTGGGTTTTCCAGATGAATACAGTCCTCATCTGTGAAAATGATTTTCTATTCAAGCTCCTGTTAATTAACAGCATGTCTATTCAGACTATATAATGACGGACACATTCTCCATTTGAAAAAATAAATGGCTTAACCTATTATTAAGGATTCTAAATAATGATGAGAGCTGTATTTTATCTCAGTGCTCATACATCGTCACAATATTTAACAGTTTGAATAAAATAACCAAAGAATAAAATAACCAAAGAATAAAATAACCAAAGATGAAAATTACACAACTAAGACCAATTTAAAAGGCAGGTAATGTAGGAACATGTTTGGCTATTTTTGCTAGTTTATTTTCCCCAAACAAGCAAGCCCTGTGATAAAGCAAAATACTCAATGAGGTAAAGCTCTTCTCATCCCTCCTCACAGTGTGAAGCTAAATCTTTTGGATGAAGATCTGCAACTTAAACAGGTTTATGACAAACGACAAAAGATTCCAATGAAAATTATCAGAGCAAAATCTCTTAGGTCTTTCTATCAGCATAAATATTAATGCCTAAATCCATTGGTGTTGGATGTGAGAGTTAAATCCATAAAAGGGACTGACTGGGGATCTCACAACGAACAACTGCGCCTGCTGAGGGATCAAAGATTACAGATTTTTTTTTAAGACTAACTGAGCAAAAAAAAAATTCTTGTGGAAACTCTCACAACTTGAAGAAGCAAATAGCATTACATGGCAAAGTTATTCAGAAAAATCCCGTGGGTTATATCCCTGTTCCACACCCCAATAAAATGAATGAGTCATAATTTAAAATATGTTAAGCTTAACCCACTAGTGACTATGATTTGCATAGTGTTCTTTTTTTATACTCATGATGAGCATTTGGATCATGTATCTGAGGTTGTGAAAGTGTTTGTGGGTTTTGGAATGACTGTCAATATGTTAATGCTTATAACTTTACAGAAAATATACACAAGATCCAGTTTGTGCTAGATTGTGCCCATATAAGAGTAAATTAACATTGATCTATAAAGTGCTTCTCACAAAAAAAATAAATAAGATTTTGTATACTTCTCCCTCCATACACTAGAACATCATCAAAGGATCTGAAGGAATTTCACAAAGCGAGACAAAAGTGGACAGCCACGATCTCCGATCCCTTAGATGGCTCTGCATCTAAAACCAGCACTGGATCAATCGCTGATCGACAAGGAATTACCTCAGAAAACCGTAGTCAAGATCTACTTACATTCACTTAATGCTGTAGTTATAGTTTTTCACAAAAGCTTTTTTAGCACCTGCAATACTAAACAAGAGACAAGAGAAGTTTATCCACTCTGCACAGTCTTGTTATTGATCCATTATGAAGGACAGAGAGATCATACACCCGTCTTTTTGCTCCCTCATTTTTTTCCTGCTTTCTCTCTGACAGTTTTATTATGATGATGCATCACCTGGATGAGATTACATTATGATGCATTCAGTTGAATACTTATTTGTCGGTAAAAGACGTAATCGGGGCATGCCATCAGCATTGCATAGGGAAGAGCAGTGACTGCCTTGCAAAGCTTTGGAATCAAAACATGCGGCTTGATCCCGACATCCGGGCTATTATTTTTATTGGGGTTCTGTGTAAAAATGGTGAAGTAAAAAGTGAAAAACGAGCGAAATTTCCAACTCCCGAAACGCAGAGTGTAACTGAAACCAACTGCCGCTTTTTGGAGTGAGAAATGGAGTGGAATTTTGACCCCAAAATAATTTTGAAATCGCTCTGATGGTCGCAAAAATTGCTCTATTGGTAGGAAAGTTGGTCATGACATTGATATGCATGCCTGCTCCGGTAAAATGTTTTCAAAATTTCTCTAGGGCCGAGGGTTTTCTGTCAAGGTGCTTCAGAGCGAAATCATGTGACAGGGTAACCTCATGCTCTCAGCCATTCATTTTCAGACTTTTCTGAAAAATTTCAGAGCTCAGCGCACACCATCTTTCTTTCATCACTGCCATCACTGTGATTGAGCTACAGATATGAATCGCGGTACTATCGGAGATGACAAATAGCCCTCTCATATGCTTCAAACGGTTTTTGGATTGGCCTTACGGATCCTGAACAGGAAGCAGTTGTTCGGACTGCTTTTTTCATTAAAACTGACTGGGTGTCTCATAAAGATAGAAATCCTTCTCCAGCGTTCTGTCTCACACACGGCAGTTGACAGAGGATTAATCGCTATAGCAACAGAATACAGAGAAAGGCAGAGCTGCTGCTTAGGACTACAAAGACGCCATCTTTTGGCGTAACACTTTAATACAGAGGACAGAATAGAATGTCAGAACATGGTGGAACACTCAATTATTACAGAGGAGGGCTGAGCTGGCATTCAGAACTACTTGCTGTTTTGGGCATTATATAGCTGGAAACCACTGTTACACATTGGATTAGTGTGGCCATTTAAAATGAAGCTTACTGAAAATTTCAAAATAAAAGCCTTGACATTTTTCACATCAGGTAATT